ACATGAATTATATTGTTGCTAACAAATGTTTTTTTTACCTTTAGAAGGAATTATAATTCATTAAATTTTTCAAATCTTAATTTGTGGTATAAAATTTTGATGGTTTTCAATTTTAACAGAACCTATTTGAAATAACACTAGAACGTGCTATCTCGACTATTCGTTATACGTCAAGCGCTTCAAATATCGCACTCAAAAACATATATCACTTGCTGATTTACAGATTACGATTACGGACCTACCTGTGTTTGTATCGCGTACTCGTGTGAATTGGAAAACTTTTTGTTTGACTATATAATAGCACATCAGATGTTCATTCATTCAAACGATTCTGTTCTGTGCCCCTAGCATTTGAATTAATTTCCGGGTATAAAGTGAACACATTCTGAATGCTCATTTCAGATTACTTACCTTTTTAAAAGTTTTTACATGAGAATTATACTTACTTTGCAACTTTCTCTTTACTCTTTATTGAACTAAGGCCATTGACCTTAAAGTCATATTCCGTTAATGTTTTTTCATATCATTTATTTATTGCAATCCACATGTAGGTATCCCTAATAAGTCCATGTACATCAAGCATATCAAACATATGAAACTCAGAAGGGTGTAGCAATGTCTGATGACAGATCGAAAATCTAATATTTAAGTAATTATTTATTCTAATTATTAATTCATTATTTATTGTAATTTTTTATGAAATAACTCCGTTTGTTTTGTTATGAATACAAAGATATAACACACAGGCGCCAAGCAGTAATGTCAGCATTATTGTGTTCCGGTTTTGAAGGGTAAGGGTGCTGGTGAAATTACAGGCACATGGGACTTGTCAACTTATGTCTCAGGGTGACGGGCGCTGTGGTAGTGCCCCTCAGATCTTTGCAATTTAAACCTATGAGTGGAACTGTAACTGTTATGGACAGGCGTGTAGCTTACCATCAGGCGGACGACTTGTTCGTGCCGTTACTTGATGTTACAAAAAAAACTTCGTCCAGGGAAGTACTGCCACCTTACCTATTTCTGTTGCGAAGCAATAATGCTGTTAATAAGGCTGTTTGTTGACTGTACGTGGTCCGCACTATAAGTTTCGGGAATTAATAAGAAAAAAATGAAATTAATTTATTGTTTCTCAAAATATTCGCCGGCAGCGTTGATGCACTTTTTCATACGAATGAACCAATTTTGAAAACATTTATGCTACTCCTCCGTGACAATCTCTGAAACATATTTTTTATACTCTTTGACAGCCTCTTCAGGTGATGAAATGAATGATGAAATCGTTGACCGCGTAACTGGTTTTTAATTTTTGGAAATAAATAAAAGTCACAAGGTCGGCACTGTACGCGGGATGGCTCATAAGGTCAACGTTGTTCACCTACAAAAATTCATTTGTCCGTGTGGCCATGTGAGAATTGGCATTATCGTGGTGCGATACGGCGTTTACGGTTATTTTTACGGAGTTTGTCAATAACTTCCGGCAAACAAATGGTTGTGTACCAACCACTATTCATGGAACAACGATTCTCCAAAGCAACAGTAGCCACGTGTCCATGTTGTCAACTTCGTTGAATCTGGTGAGCGTGGTATTGCACCAAGGGACGCGGTCCGTTTTTTGAGCCTCATTCAAATTGTATGGGATCTACCGAGAGCACAGCTTTTTCACACCCAAATGTTTGTGTAGTATTGATTGTATTTGACTCATGCCTATGCCTAGAGATGCCCGAATCTCATGGTATGTCACATGCCTCTCTGTTTTGATCATACGGCGCACAGCATCGATGTTTTTGTTGTTCATAGCAGTGTACGGGCGACCATTAGGAAATTCCTCACTGAGATTCACACGACCGCGTTAGAATTCTGAAAACCAGCTATAAATAGTCGTCTTACATGGTGCTTCATTGCCAAAAGCAGTTTGAAGCCGAGCGAAGCTCTGCTGAGCTGTTAAATTGTACTTAAAGTCGTAGAAAATCATACTAAAAATTTTCACGAGTTAAATCCATGGCGATGTAGACAACCAATTTCTAAAATGACGCCACAATGTAAACGCAAGTGACAATCAGATGAAACAAACTGTATTCTACAGCCAAAGAGTTCCATTTTCAAATGTTGTAATTACTTTTTAAATATTGTTTATATAAGTGTCCAGTTCCGGAAACTTATAGTGCGCCCTATGTACAATACTCCTCTGTATCATAACTATCGTAATCGACATTTTTAACGAAATTTAGTTTTTAACATAATCTTAATTCAGCGAAATGGGCTGAAAAAAAAACCCTCTATAAGCGGTTTTTTATATCTTATTTAGTTCCGTAATTATTGTTAAGCAAAATTAGCGCGCGTGTCATTTTTCAAATAGTAAAAAAAATTTGGTGGCAATATCTCGTAAGTTACCAAAATACAAATAAGGAGTACAATAATTAGTTAAAATCTCCAACTACGCGAATAGTGCCTTGTATCTAGGAGGCAAGGATGAACCAGGTCGTGTGTGAATAATTGAGTGAATAAATGTGAACACCAATAATTTTGCTTTTGTTAATCTAACAAACAAAATAAAGTTATTTGTGAAATTGTGAATGTCTTTCTCGTTAAATCTTTATCTAGCACTCGAGTAACTTATGCAAATTAAAAGTAAATATATACTAAATTAAATTTTACTTTTACTATGCAGTAGAGCAAAGCTAATTAGGCTTTTTATAAAGCCTCCGAAGGTTATGAGGAACTTGGGGGTCATTGACCAGCGTTCACTTTCACGCACAGTAAATGATTAGTTCTTTTCGATGCATGGTTGCTGAAGAGCTTTTGCCTTTTAGTTTTCAATTTTGTCGTCAAAAAATTGAATAAATACAAATGCCGTAAAGTATAACTATATTTAATCCTTGTACGAATACTTTCAGTAGAATATACATTCTGTTTTTAAACCTTTCTTTGAGGGTTTTGGTGGGTATACTCGCCACCTAGTCGGTTTGTTCCATATAACCCTCGAGTCTTCCTCTCGTAAAAAATGGCAGAGTGATCAGCCCAGAAAGTACCTACTACGCACATCTTAGGAAAAAAAATAATAAAAGAAAGTACCATTGTTTTATTAGAGTCAGAACAATCTCATTAGACTCACGCCACAAAAAATGCTAGCCACGCCAATGGGCCCAGTCACACCGCTTGGGAATTAGTAATAGTTGAAGTAAGCTTGATTGTTTCGGCGTTCAGCACAGCTTTCGAACGTATGTTTCCCGCCGCGCAGTCTACCTCCTCAGATGTGTTATATAACAGCTAATTACTTTACTCATTTGCTCGGCCCTCGACTTATTATGTAATACATAATGTGTTGGGATAGTTGATTTGTTGGCGATCACTTTTAAGGTTACTTTCACGTTTTTTATTGACGCATAAAGCTATAAATATATACTAATAATAATCGCAAACATTTTCTAATTAGACAGGTTTTAAATAAAACTATAAACATATTTTAAAATATGATATTAAGTTTCCAGTAATTTCAAAGAGGAGTCAGAGATGTCTTATCTCTTATTATGTATAAAAAAAATTATCATGACAGCTTAAATCAATTATTTAGTTTTCGCAATTGTTATAAAATATAAAACAAACCAACGTTTTGGGCTCTTCACACAAACACCTTACACCATTTGGTCATGGGTTTTGTAAAGGACCCAAAACGTTATATACGCGATTTAGATCCGAGAATTAGTTTAATTTCCTAGTCCAATCACTAGTAGAAAAGACACACTTGCACGTAATCCCATAACCTAAATTAGTGCCTAAATGCTTATTACTAATAATGTAACTGTAGAAGAAATTTCAGATATATTCAAAGTTGCACAAGGATCTCTATTTTTATCTTTGTAACCTTAATGACGTTAACATTACCTTTAGTTCTTAGTAAAGATTTTATCTATCATCTTGTATTTTCCATAGCCTCCTCCTGCTTTTTAGTCTACGAGTTTGACCCGTACAAAAGATGTAATTAGTAATTTAAACTTATAATATCTATACTGCCCGCGGTAAAAAGAGCTCCTAACATGTGATCAAAGTTGAGTCATATGCATATTCAGAGTCCGAAGAAAAGGCGACTCTACCGAAATTTTTCGAGAAATAATATCTCAATAATTGTTGGATATACAGTAAGTACAAAAGCCACAACTTTTTTATGATACTAGGGCACGGAACGAACAAATCCCGCGCCTGGCAATAGCAGTAGAAGTGCTATTCAGAGCTTTAAATCGCAAACATCTGAGGGACACTGCCACTGCGCCTGTCACCCTGAGACATAAGTTAACAAGTCTCATATGCCTGTTATTTCATCTGCTGGTGAAAAAACTCTTCGATAACGCAGAACTGACACAATACAAATAAAAAAGGATTAAAAAATCAGACATAAAAAGTCATATTTGACATTTATTAAGTTAAAAACTAATATCAACGTGTTTTACTTAGTAATTGTACGAAACTATGCCCTTATTATGTAGTTTTTAATTAACAATAATTATTTCATAAGTAAAACAAATAATTATAAGTTTTTTTTAAAAGAAAAACCGATCTCAAAAGTTCGTGGAATTCCATCTATTTGAAATATTTTACTGAAATCGGTTACCGGAAAGTGCGCGAAACTGGCTTCATCCCCTAGTTTGCCGCCCTTCAAGGTGGAATATTTTCGCCAAATTTAATTAGGACTAATACTGAGGTACCCTCTTTCCAACAAAAAAAAAAGAATCATCAAAATCGACACACAAACAAAAAATTCAGTCGAATTAGGAACCTCCTCCTATTTTGAAGTCGGTTAAAAGACACAACGGACTGTAATTGCGCCCTTTTCTAATATAGGTACGTCGAGTATTAAAAAGTCACATTATATGAAGTTATACCCTTTATATGCAGCATATTCATAATATTTTGAGTAAAAGTAAAAGTTAAAAGAGAAAATAAAGGCTTTTTTTTAAATATGGCTACTTAAAATACAATGATAGTTTCTGTATAAAATATGTGTTACGTGTAATTAACGTAAATAAACTACTTAATATCAAAAACATATTTTAAGTATTCTTTTTATCAGAAAAGTCTAGAAAATCTTTAAGCTCGTCTCTGAATTTTGAATTTGCTGCTTGTGCTTTTGTTTGTTTTGAGGGCAGAATATCCAGCAAATGGTGGCGGTGATAGTGTCTCTAGCCATGGTATATCAAAGATAAGTAGGGCAACTCCCGCAGTTCGGCGGGCGGCGGCACGTAAAGGCCTACTCTTTGTTCGGAGCGTAGGGTTGTCATGCCTCACATTATTATTTTAGTTGTACCTAAACTTAATTTTAGAAAATTAAAATGTTCACAGTATTCTCATGCTTTATTGAAATGAGCTTTGTTAAATGCAGTCCTCACGTATTGATATTTTTGTACTAGTATCGCGGATATATATATATGCTGAACAATTCTTAATTTTAGGCACTCTTGTTCAAACAACTTCAAACACGACAATAAACTATTTGACGTCATTTTCTAAACACTGAGTGACTGCTTCATTCTATACTTAAAGGTGCGGGCGACCAGCGACGATTTCACCAGAGATGTGCGAGGTAGCGAGGCGGTGTGCGAGGATGTGTAGTGGCGCTGTGAAATGGTGTGATGTTTTCCACCAAAGTTGTGCGAGGTAGCTAGGCGGTGCAAGGATGCGTACCTCGCATACATTCCTCGCACACATTCCTTGCACACATCTCTAGCTTTTTTGTATGTATGTACAAATGTGTAATAATGTCCTTAGCTCCGTTCCCTTTACCACCAGAGCTGCGCAAAGCGAGGCTAAAAAAATGAAGAAATCGTATCGGTGGATTTTTCCTCGCACACCGCCTCGCTACGTCGCACATCTATGGTGGAAAGGCCGCCGTATGCAGCGCGAGTCCACCGCGAAATTATGCGAATGTGTGCGTCTGGTCTGTACACAGCGCGCGGCGGGCGTGCTCACATACAAGTCGCGTTGCTACGTTTGTATGGAGTTACCGTATTATAATAGTTAAATGCTAACTATTGTAGTACGTTTGATACAATACAATACCAAAAATTTAGTTACGTCGTGCTCTTGTATCCAAGATTGGTAGCTTATTACGAATTTATTGGTTGAGTTGTTATATTGAGTGACTCATGTCAGTCGTTTAAATTACAATCCTTGTGTTTTCGCTCACAAACCTCACTTCTATCATTAATCTCGTCACTGGAAGGCAAGTGTCGATAGAAACTGGCCGACCCACGAATATCTCCATTGCTATCTAGGGTCTCGTTACCGAATACAGTTCTCTGCATCCTTGTGACAAAAGGAATTATCTTACAAACAAGTAATCTAATGCAGCTGGTTTCTTCTTCAGACCCTTGCTGTGTTATTAAATCGTCTAGAGTGTCTGGAAGGCTTTCGTTTTTGGCAGTTTTTAGAAGGTCTTGCAGTGCTCTGGAGTTTTTGTTCAATATCCAAGACGTAGAATCTTCGGAGTGACGCAATCGGCCAGGACGTTTTGGGCCGGTCAGGAAGGTAGATATCTGGAATTGTAGACATTGATTGTCGTTTAACAGACGTCTGCGCGAATACAGAGGTAAAACTTAATTAATTACAGATTCAAGACATGGCAGCATCGATAAGGACATCTCTCAAAGTGTGGAATAAAAGAACTGTGCAAGTACGTGTATAAAATTGTAAATAAGATTTTAAAGTTTTATAAAAACAAACAAAAGAGAATCTTTGTATTATTTGCGCAAATGTAAAACAGTTTGATGAGGTGTTACCATGGTGTTACACATCTTGGGTAGCTTAAAAGACTCTCAATTGTCATTAAGAGCACATCAAGCTTGACACTTTGATCCACTTTTTATGAGATATAATCGAGACACAGTAGATAGAGTTGAATTTATATCTCCGGAATACCTCGGCAGACTTGGGGGTGCTTCGGCAGTCTTTGGGATGCTTAAGCATACAGCGTCGTCCCTATTCTGTACACAAACTAGGACGATCTCTATGACACTTTATTTGATGTTCGTCATAGAGAGAGAGATTTTTAGATTATTTAATTTTTGAAGCAAATCCCCCATAGAATTTTCTGATGTTTTCTGAACGATAAATGTGTGAAATATTTTGTATTATATTGAAGGCGTAAAACACACAACTATCATTCAAATGCAATTTCAGTAATATATTTTACTAAATATTTTAGTAAATTTCTGAAATCATTTATTAATGTTATTAATTTATGGATTTCAAATAAGTGATAACACGAACATGTCAGTTTATTGCCTATGATTATATATATACTTTAGGAATGAATACAAGTATTGTACATTTTTTCATTAAATTATCGAAAACTTTTTATCGATATTCCTCATCTCTAGGAAATGCAGTAAAATGAAGTAACCTTTGACTGTTGTCGTAAAAAATTAATGAATTATAAACAAAATCCGCACATTTCTCACAAATAAACGTTGATTTTGTGTTTTTGTATTCTCTTAAACAAGAACTATTCATTTAAAAGCGAGGCTTTAAGCGAGGGTTTAATTTATAAAGTACGTAAATTAGTGCACGTCGTTACAAGGTTATATTTTGCAGATTTTTATGAATTGTCACAGGGTCATCCTAAAATTATGTTTAGTATAGGGACACCGCGGTATATTTAAGGACACCTTGGCATAATTGCAGTCAGTGTACGCTTGCATGTAGGGATGCCGAAGGACCCCTGCTGAGACCAGCCAAGCCGTCGTTCCATCGCAAAGTAATTAAAGAAAGTATAGAATCGTCAAGATCGTCGTTTTTAAAATAAGAACCATCATCAGAATATCATTGGGGACGATTCTTAATTTAAAAACGAGTGGCCAGGAACCGAAAAAAAGGCGATAAAAAGGTGGGATGACGACGTAAGGAGGTCACATCGCCACAAGTTGGTGGATGCACAGGACTCACCATTTGAGCGACAAATACAAGCGCGTTAACAGCGACTGCACTAATTTGATTAGGTTGCAGTCCAAACAATTTCACCAAATGCCTCAAAGGTGTCATGGGCAGGTAGCCGTCATTGACATCGTTATTAGGTCGTTTGTCAAACGTCTCCTCGTTTGAAGTATAGTCGGTATAAGCGTTGTTAACCGGGCGATGTCGTATTGGTTTGGAGGGGGCTGCGTTTGCGTTTTGGAAGGCACGCACTACGAATTCTGCTACTGTTCGTGCTATGGATTCTGAACCTGAAACAAGATAACAAGAAAATTATAAAATACATTAATTTATTACAGGAGTATCCAGTAGTTACATATCAAGCGATACGATGGTTCTTTTTCTGTGTGGGACTCTCTGCCGTCTGCCGATATGCCGTCGAGAAAAATAGACATTCATTTAAATGCTGCTAATAAATCTGTCACTATTATTATATTACAATATTTTTATTAAACAAAATACAAAAAGAGTACTAATGTAAACGTAGCGGCACAACAGAAACCTGTAGGTTTATCCGTAGATATTATTTGAAAATGAGAGACTAATTTGTTAATAAGAAACATTAGTATTAGAAGATAAAACCTCTCATAAAAGAAAATATCTTTTAAGTCCTACTATAGAAATGTTATTGAAAAGGAAACCTGCGTTCTACTATTGATAAAAACATCAAACAAACACAAATAAAAATTTCTTCGACTCTACTAGAAATTTATTTAAAAAAATAGATGAATGCATACAGTAAAAACATTATGATATTCAACAAAAATAAAAATGTTGTGACCTAGATATATCTAACCTACCTTAATAGTATATTTTAGCGAGGGTGCCTATTACTCCGACGGTTTATATTTGCTAAAAGCCTTGACGTGAAAACTTTACTTTTCACTTCGATTGGGAGAAAAATTCAATTGTTTTCGCTCGACAATAAAATTACGAACCAACATTTTGAAGCTTTCGCGGTATTTTTTTCCAACCAGACACAGATACCTACAAAAAACGCAGTAACGCGGGAAATTAATATGGTGCCAGAATAATATGCAGAAAAAGCACGTAACTGAAACCGAGCGTACTACTGGCTGTTTGAGTTCGTTCCCCCGATATAATTTTAAAAATTAGATACACAAGGATTAAAGGATGCACTTTACTCCCGCTACGTTAGGCTATATTGATGTACTTTTAGAGCATGAGAAGTGAAAACGTTAATTATAATATAATTACTATTATTATATAATGATATGATGTGCATAATTTTAAGTGAAAACTATGAAGATTGCCACTCACCAAGAAAATCTTTAGCAAATTGCATCCCGTTATTTAGATGATCGATAATTCCCTGTCGACCATACTCGTTGTTAGCACTTATCACGGGAATGAGGAATATCACAAATAACCCGAATGTCGCCATCTTGAGACCGCGCTGAGTACTAGATAGTGAAGACACTCGCGAGCGCATGCGCCATGGTTCGTTTCTCAAAATAATAGCGTAAACGCAAGTCGCATCAGAGCAGAAAATTTTAATATTGTCCCACTTGAAAACTGTACAGGTTGCTGTTTTATAGTAAATTTACGATATTATAAAATTCATTTATAGGTTAGGTGTTTGTAGATGTAAGAATAGGCACATTAAAAGTTTTTGTAGAGACGGGTAGTTATTCAGTTACATTGTAGATGGCGTTACAAGCCATTTCTTTTAAAGTTTATTTACACGCTTTTGTTATGTTTCCGATCTAACTAAATTTTATCGATTGCCTCTCATTTTAAATGTAATGTTTTAAGCTAATTGAATTTGAATGGTAACATTATGCTTCTTAAATTACCTAAAGTATACGAGATGCGCACTTAATTTTTAAGTGCCAAATAATAGAACACCATGTACGTACATACACACACAAACAATGAAATACAAAGAACAATAGACAAGGAAAATCTTACATATGGAGTAGGTACCATCTCTATATTTTCAACAACTCTAACATCATCATACCTATATCTACGGTAGCTAATTTTAAATTTCTTCATAATCTACATGTAATTATTTGTATATATATAAGAAGTACCAACTTATACATTATATCACACAGCAACTCACGTGTTTTTCTTTACTTGGGATTGAAATAGTTACTCAATATACAATCACAACTTTAGTTCAAAGAAATACTCTTTGTTCAACGTCAAGGACAATGGTCCTTATATCATTCACTTGCCAACTATTCCTACTGCAAAATAATGAAATACACAGCCGGGTTTAAAGGTGATGTATGCAGCAAAAGAATAAAATACCCTGCCGGTATCTGTGTTTCGTGGCGATGTACAGCAAAAGAATAAAATACCCTGTCGGTATCTGTGTTTCGTGGCGATGTACAGCAAAATAATTAAATACACAGCCGGCATCTGGGTTTAGTGATGATTTGTACAGCATAGAAAGAAAATACACTGTCGGCATCTGTGTTTGGTGGCGATGTACAACAAAAGAATGAGATACATAGTCGGCATCTGTTTAGTGGTGATTCGTGTAGGAAATGAATTAAAGACACTGGCGGCATCTGTCTTTCGTGATGATGTAGGTACAGAAAAAGAATTAAATACATGGCTGGCATCTGGATTTAGTGATGATTTGTACAGCAAAGGAATAAAATACATTGTCGGCATTTGTGTTTGGTGGCGATGTATATCAAAAGAATAAAATACACAGCCAGCATCTGGGTTTAGTGGTGACGTAGGTACATCAAAACAAAGAAATACCTTACCGACAAACATTCAGTAACAGTGTCTTGTAGAATACCCGTGCCCAGCATTAGGATGTATATGGGTTGATGCTGTTGTTATCATTGATGTTGTTTTGTTATTAATTAGCGATTCAATTTATAAAAGAAAGAAACAGACAGATCTACTGGAACTGGAAAGACAGACAAAATAATATTAATACTACCTGGCTGTTTCTCCTCCACAGGGAATCATCACATTTATTAGAGGGCACCGAGCTTCTGGCGCCCAATAATAATTAAAATATTCTATGCGCTCCGTGTACGTGTGCGTATGACACACGTTTTTATAGCCGCGTGTAAGTTCAAGCGACACAACCTCCATGTCAGATTCAAGTGGACTAAAGCGGACAAGGGAGAAGCGTGGTGGCTCCGGCCAGGGTAATTTCTTGGTATTCTTAAAATAAATTTAACCATTTACGTATTGCTGTCTCAACTCGAAATCAGCTTGAGCTGATCAGAAGAAGTTTCATGTTCAGAATGCGCATTTCGCTTTCGTTTGAACCGCCGATGCGACGTCGATAAGTGTGGTGACACCTTTACGCGCCTAACCGGCTGTAATGTACAAGTGAGTTGCCCTTAGTGAGTACTTTCCTTGGTGCCAATCAGTGCTTACAAAATGATCTGAGCATGAACATACTGACCTGGTTGTTTGCACCACTAAATGTCGCGCTCAGCAGCTCACTATGATCACATGTCCATCAGAGCATAGTCATTTCAACACCCTTGATCCCATCGAGCACTCGCTTTACAATGCTCGAAACATTTCTCATAATTTCTGCATTGGCATTCATCAATGCCGACAGCATTACTGAAGACATTCAGTTCCTAAATGAACTGCCTTTAGATAAACTAATGAAGTTGAAGAATTCATTACAAGAATTGGTGACAACCGAGTTAGATAATGTAACGTCAACAACACCTACTTATTCGAGCGGTTTCGGAGCTCAAGCCATGGCGATTCAAGGACCGCCCATAAAGAGAGGTGATTGGGAAGAGAGTGTTTGGAAAAAGGGAAGCCATAGCAAAATTAGTAACATCTTCTCTATGTCGGTGACGACACTGGCTTTTTTAGCCTTTGGAGGATATTTGTTATGTTTAATTGTTCACGCGATAAAGCAGAAGCAAATGTATTTTCCAGCTACAACTGTGCAACCTACTACATTCTTCGTTAGTGCTGGTATAAAGAAGAGACCGCAAGCACAATTCGCTGCGTATGGAAGGAGAAGGAGGGAGAATAGAGACGTAAGGAGTTTGAAACAAATTGAATTGCCTCCTGAACAGTTATTTTCCGCGTTAATGCGACTTTGTGAAGGGTACGCGAAATGGAGTGAGAGATATGGAAATGCTACATCTTGAAGTGATTATTCTTATTTTTATGTTTGTTGAAAACCATCTCCTGCACCGTTTACCTACATAAAAGTTCAAATGTGTTGTTTAAAAAAGTGACAGCTTAAAGAGGGATATAGTGTACATATAAAACAGCGATTTTATTTCAAACTTTTTCAATACAGTAGATTGATTAACGAGGATGTAACCGCACGAATGCTCGTAGACGGATACTGTTCGATTGTTAACTGGGTTTACACTCTGCTTTTTACTTTGACTGAAGACATTTGAAACAAAAATTACCGAAAATTTTCTATTTTCACACTGTTTTAGTTTCAGTAACCATGTAACATCTGTAAACTCATGTCTTTTGTGTACACGTCGGCGTTGTGTTAATCATCTGCGGAAGAACTTAATCTATACAAGTATACCTGCGGGCAGAAGTTTTTGATGCGACACGTTAAGAAATTATATTCACGTGTAACTATTATAAAGTATGCGGTTAAATTAGATTAAAAGAACTCATTACACGGTTACGTACCTATATAAGCAACAAATTTCTCAGAGGTTAGAGGATCTCAAAGCACTGTTTACTTTGAAAACAGGAAGCCAGATTGCGGGCAATGTAACCACAATCTGTAAACGTATTCAACCTGTCAAATAATCACTGTAACACGTAATAATGGCTACATCTTCGCTTTAAAGATTCTATTCAATGTGTTTTTGCTCTTTAGAGCAGTCTTTCAGTCAGTCTTTAGACTAGGTATGAATTTTTAAAGAAAATTATGCTTTGAGGAGAACATATTAAAGTTGCATGTTGTTAAGAAGTTTGTATGTTTTATGATATTTCAGTGCAGTACAAGTGTTCGAGTTTGTTTATAAGGACGGTATCACATCGCATGTTTCGTTTACTTACTCGTTTAGAATGTTGGACAGGTTCAGTGCAGTAGTTTTATATTATTTTATGAAATTTTATTTTAGTGACTTTTTAAGTCACTTGAAAGAACTTTTAAAAAAATATTTATAAAAAAAACAATTTTCCACATAAAATGTCAAATTGTGTGTCTTTCTATACAGCCCAAACACAAGGTTAGATACAGAAATCGGTTGTATGCTTTGATTTTGAAATTGCTCCATCTTGAACGTGGACTTTAGGTTGGTAATGAGTGGGTCTGTTTCCAACCTGTCATCGCCCGCTCTCCACTGTTTACAGTTCCAGACCGCCCAACGCACTCGTTCAACGAACGGCGTGCCACGGTGGCGCCGGCGCACGGTGGTTGCCGCGAAATGAAAACTAATTCTTTGTGTTAAGATTTACATTAACAAATACGCTTAATTAAGATTTATTGTTTATTGATATTAGTTTGCAGCTTTGAAATTTTTTGTTTATTGTAATTTTCAACAATTTTTTGTTTTGACTCCATGCATTTAGCATATAGCTAAATAAATGTGTTTGATTTGATATTTTTTTCCTCAAAATAATACAATACAATATCCGTTTGCCGAAAAAATGTGTTATCTCTAGAACATCGAGATAACCCGTAGATAACACGTTGTTCTGGCAAACGGGGGATATATATTTTTCTTATCAATCTTAGTTCTTACACAAATAAGTTTTTTTAAAGTATAATCTGTATGAATGAAGTGTGTAATTAAAAAAAAACTATTATTTAATATAAATATGACTGGCGAATTCTATCTAATCTAATCTAATCTAATTACAATTAATTAGAGTTAAGGGCACGAACACATGTTTAGTTGACGTGATTCGGTGAGAACTTCCATCAGCTGAGATATTTCTAAAAACTTTTTCAAGTGAAGAGGGCATCTGAGCATAAGAACATAAAAAAATGAGGTCAAGGTATGTCACGGTTTTTTGCACATATGTCCAAATGTTGGTGTTTTCTACTGTAGTTGTAGCGAACCGTAGCAGTCACTATACAAATCTTTTTGCATTTTATACAACATAGTCTGTCTCAGTTTAGTTTTAGATTTAAATTATAAATTTAATAATTAAAATAGTTTTTGATGACTTTTTTTTATAAAATATACTTTTCTTTGATTTATCACTGTTTTGTCTGTTTTTCGTGCTCGTCAATGTCAACTTTGTTTCCGTCTTAAAATAAACTTTAAGTACATTTTTATTTGGTCTTGATCACTCGTCGTTAGTACCCGGACCACATTGATAGAGTCCACTACAATAGTATTATTCTGATAAAAGCAATACTAGCGTTGTAGTGTAAAACTGTAAATGAGCTTATTACATTATTTCTGTATTTTAAGTTTTTCGTAAAACAGTAATTTTTCTCAGAAAAAAAGCTATTGCTATTGTGTTTTTATATCATCAAATCTTGTTATTACTTCGTTTTATTCAACATTTTAAATTTTATTTTTATGGATTTGCAATACCCTTGCTAACTAGAGAACTGCCCCTAGCTCTTAAGAACTTTATGTGCTACATACATTGATGCAATAAAGATTGTGATTATGACTATAAAACCTTACGATTAACATTTTAATAGAAAACTCTTGATGTTCGGACATGAATGAGCAAAACACTTTCAGATGGAACCAGGTTTATGTAATTCCCGTCAAAGTGCCGATAACTGCATGCCAAAATAAAAAGACACATAGTCATTTAACGCGATATCCACGATTATAAATGAATTTAGCCGAAAAATGCCTCATTAACTATTTATTGCAAGCGATTTTAGAAATCTAAAGCATATAAATCATAATTTAAACGTCTTATTATCGTTGGCGCCTCCACATTTTATACGACCGTCATTATTATGGCTATATTCATTGGAAAATTTATATCCCGTTTACCGAATGGTTTGACAATTGAATACCTTATATTTTCATTTTATTGCAATCGATTTATTTCCCTAACTTGTAATATAAAACGAATGAGCTTGAAAGCGTTTGTTCAGGAGAGGTATTCTTGAATCACTCGTTAGAGTTAAGTACTGACGTAAACATTTCAATGTAGTAAATAATTTATGTCGAACTTAAGATAAATAAAATTACTACGCGACAAATTCGAGATAAATGGAACTGAGTGTTTGAAAGAAATTGAAAGAAATCAAGCTAGATTTAATCAAAAAGTGAAAAACACCCTAGCACCAAGGTTATTAAAGATAACAAGGGAGGTTTTTTTATGATACAACGTGACGGGACGAACAAGTCGTGAGCCTGGTGGTAAGCGACACGCCTGTCCATAACAACTGCAGTGCCACTTAGAGTTTTCAATCGTAAAGTTCTAAGAAACATTGCCACTGCGCCCGTCACCCGCAACTCACTTTCTGCTGCATATCAACGATGTGCGTATATTGATAACAGCAGTAGTTAGATACCTGGCCAATGCAAGAGTCCGTGGAGAAGAAATCCGGTCTTGGGAGTTCATGGTTAGTCGTTTGAATTTTAGACTTAAGGCAGTCTCCGATTGGGCCGATGCCAATCTTGTCAAATTTAACGCTGCGAAAACGCAGGCGGGTCTATTCTCCACTACACGAAGTCTCTTTGACCTGACTCTGACTTTTTGTGATATATTCATACCGATAACCGACCACCGCCACCTACTGGGAATGGATCTGTCATCCAATTTGAACTTTGGCAGTTACATTGAATCCATGGCCAAAAATATAGCCATGAAGCTTGGTATCCTTTCCAAGGCGAGACGATACTTCACACCGGGACAGCCCCATATCTTTCTACATTAGTTATGATTATAGTGACCCTGCCTACCGACTCTTAGGGTATACGAGAAGGGCACCATAACTTGTGTGCGCACAGGAACAGGGAAGGAAGTTTAGGTTCTGACCCCAGATCAGCCAGTGTACAGGGTTGTCACAGACCTCTATTACTTGACCTCAACCGTCACAGTTGCTTCAACTATAACAAGCACAATTCAGATCATGTATGGAGTACTGCTACTACCTATGGGATGGACAGAAAGAAATAAAGAAAGAAACATTTATTCGGCTATTATATAATAAATATAAAAAAAATCTTCAAAAAAAAAATCTTGTGTTATTATGTTCTAATATTATTTGTATATACATATAATATTAGAACATA